AGGTGAATTCTATCAAACATTTAGAGAAGAGCTAACATCTATCCTTCTCAAACTCTTCCAAAGTATAGCAGAGGGAGGAACACTGACAAACTCATTCAACGAGGCCGCCATCACCCTGATACCAAAACCAGACAAAGATGTCACAAAGAAAGAAAACTATAGGCCAATATCACTGATGAACATAGATGCAAAATCCTCAACAAAATACTAGCAAACAGAATCCAACAGCACATTAAAAGGATCATACACCATGATCAAGTGGGGTTTATCACAGGAATGCAAGGATTCTTCAATATACACAAATCAATGTGATACACCATATTAACAAATTGAAGGAGAAAAACCATATGATCATCTCAACAGATGCAGCGAAAGCTTTTGAGAAAATTCAACACCCATTTATGATAAAAACCATCCAGAAAGTAGGCATAGAGGGAACTTACCTCAACATCATACAGCTCATATATGACAAACCCACAGCCAACGTTGTCCTCAATGGTGAAAAACTGAAACCATTTCCACTAAGATCAGGAATAAGACAAGGTTGCCCACTCTCACCACTATAAGTCAACATTGTTTTGGAAGTGTTAGCCACAGCAATCAGAGAAGAAAAAGAAATAAAAGGAACCCAAATCAGAAAGGAAGAAGTAAAGCTATCACTGCTTGTAGATGACATGATACTATACACAGAGAATCCAAAAGATGCTACCAGAATACTACTAGAGGTAATCAATGAATTTGGTAATGTAGCACGGTACAAAATTAATGCACGGAAATCTCTTGCATTCCTATACACTAATGATGAAAAATCTGAAAAGAGAAATTAAGGAAACACTCCCATTTACTATTGCAACTAAAAGAATAAAATATCTTGGAATAAACCTACCAAAGGAGACAAAAGCCCTGTATGCAGAAAACTATAAGACACTGATGAAAGAAATTAATGATGATACAATCAGATGGAGAGATATGCCGTGTTCTTGGATTGGAAGAATTAACATTGTGAAAATGACTATACTACCCAAAGCAATCTACAGATTCAATGCAATTCCTATCAGAGTACCACTGGCATTTTTCACAGAACTAGAACAAAAAATTTCACAATTTGTATGGAAACACAAAAGACCCCGAATAGCCAAAGCAATCTTGAGAAAGAAAAATGGAGCTGGAGGAATCAGGCTCCCGGACTTCAGACTACACTACAGAGCTACAGTAATTAAGACAGTATGGTACTGCCACAAAAACAGAAATACAGATCAATGGAACAGGATAGAAAGCCCAGAGAAAAAACCCATGCACATATGGTCACCTTATTTTTGATAAAGGAGGCAAGAATATACAATGGAGAAAAGACAGCCTCTTCACTAAGTGGTGCTGGGAAAACTGAACAGCTACATGTAAAAGAATGAAATTAGAACACTCCCTAACACCATACACAAAAAATAAACTCAAAATGGATTAAAGACCTACATGTAAGGCCAGACACCATCAAACTCTTAGAGGAAAACATAGGCAGAACACTCTATGACATAAATCACAGCAAAATCCTTTTTGACCTACCTCCTAGAGAAGTGGAAATAAAAACAAAAATTAAAAAATGGGACCTAATGAAACTTAAAAGCTTTTTAGAGCAAAGAAAACCATAAACAAGATGAAAAGACAACCCTCAGGATGGGAGAAAATATTTGCAAATGAAGCAACTGACAAAGGATTAATCTCCAAAATTTACAAGCAGCTCATGCAGCTCAGTATCAAAAACACAAACAACCCAATCCAAAAATGGGCAGAAGACCTAAGTAGACATTTCTCCAAAGAAGATATACAGATTGCCAACAAACACAGGAAAGAACGCTCAACATCATTAATCATTAGAGAAATGCAAATCAAAACTACAATGAGGTATCACCTCACACCGGTCAGAATGGCCATCATCAAAAAATCTACAAACAATAAATGCTGGAGAAGGTGTGGAGAAAAGGGAACCCTCTTGCACTGTTGGTGGGAATGTAAATTGATACAGCCTCTATGGAGAACAGTATGGAGGTTCCTTAAGAAACTAAAAATAGAACTGCCATATGACCTAGCAATCCCACTACTGGGCATATACCGTGAGAAAACCATAATTCTAAAAGAGTCATGTACCACAATGTTCATTGCAGCGCTATTTACAATAGCCAGGACATGGAAGCAACCTAAGTGTCCTTCAACAGATGAATGGATAAAGAAATTGTGGCACATATATATACAATGGAGTATTACTCATTCATAAAAGAAACAGAATTGAGTTATATGTAGTGAGGTGGATGGACTTTGAGTCTGTCATACAGAGTGAAGTAAGTCAGAAAGAGAAAAACAAATACCATATGCTAACACATACATATGGAATCAGAAAAAAAAAAATGGTTGTGAAGGCCCTAGGAGCAGGACGAGAATAAATACTCAGACCTACTAGAGAATGGACTTGAGGACACAGGGAGGGGGAAGGGTAAACTGGGACAAAGTGAGAGAATGGCATGGACATATATACACTACGAAATGTAAAATCAATAGTTAGTGGGAAGCAGCCACATAGCACAGGGATATAGGTCAGCTCGGTGCTTTGTGACCACCTAGAGGGGTGGGAAAGGGAGGGTGGGAGGGAGGGAGATGCAAGAGTGAAGAGGTATGGGGATATATGTATATGTATAGCTGATTCACTTTGTTATACAGCAGAAACTAACACACTATTGTAAAGCAATTATACTCCAATAAAGATGTTAAAAAAATAAATTAAAAAATAGAAAAGTAAGAAAAAGAATCCGCCTGCCAATGCAGAGGACATGGGTTCGAGCCCTAGTCCAGGAAGATCCCACATGCTGCGGAGCAACTAAGCTTGTGCACCACAACTACTAAGCCTGTGCACCTAGAGCCCGTGCTCTGCAACAAAGACATGCCAACACAATGAGAATCCCGCACACCGCAGCAAAGAGCAGCCCCGCTCAACTGCAACTGGAGAAAGCCTGTGCGCAGCAACGAAGACCTAAGGCAGCCAAAATTTAAAAATTTTTTTAAATTAAAAAAAATGCTTAGTACTGCCTCTGGCACATGGTAAGCACATGTAAGTGTTTTAAAGCAAACAGATAGGTAGTTTCAATGGATGGATGGGTAGGTAGCTATTGTTCCTAAATGTTAAGTGCTACTGCCCAACCTCTGACCATCTGCACTAAGGGGCACGTTCCCTGTGAAGCGGCACTGCCCCGAGAAGGACTCTGGTATTGAGTAGGAACATACATGATGTATCTCATTCATGATGACTCATCTTAAAATCTATAGCACAAAGGCCTTTTAAATTTCCCCCTTACATATAATATCCTCTATTCAAGTTCTTCCTCCTTGTTCTTGAGTTTTATATTCAGAATGCAGGTAGGTTTTTAAAGGGGTCTGAGAGGGCGCCCCAAGGAAAAGCCTGCGGTCAGGTCAGTTTCCCTTTTAATACAGGGATTCCCCTTCCCAGGCACCCACTGTCCTCAGTCCCTGCTTCTTCCTCTTCAAGGTAAAGGCTGGCAGATGATTCATGTGACACCAACGCCACATCACGTCTCCTAGAGATACAGGTTTCTAACCACCAGGAGCTAACTGTAGAAGGAAGGACTCAGTTGCCTGTTAAAGGACTGTATGCAAGATTACAAGGCTGGTAGAGAGCAGAGACGCCCCTCTCCTCATCACTAAAATCACAACCCGGCTTCCCCGTAAAAGAGGGAGGTGCGAATTATCTCCTTTTCCCTGGATATCTCCCTGGTATACAAGTACATATGAATAAATTTCTGGGTTTTTCTTGTTAAAAAAAAAAAAGAGAGAGAAGTGCAAAGCAAACGTGTTTCATGAACAGAATTGACTGTTCAAGTCCAGGTAGAAGTGGGAGAGCTGTGGGGTTTGTGCTCAGTCTGTAACAGAAACATGTCTGATTTCACTGTGGTTCAGGGCAGATCTGTGGGCAGGTGGGCCAGTAATAGGCAGCAACATGAGGAAGCCTTCAGACCCAGGTCATGGGACAGCCAGAAAAACAAATTCTAACAATATAGCCCAACAGGGAACCAGGTAGGAAGGCTTTGGAGTCAGAAAGACATGGCTGGATGTTTTGGTTCCAGTATTTATTATTGAGGCTTTCCTTGGATAAGTTCCTTGGCCTTCCTGGGCCTCAGTTTCCCCATCTCTGTATTATCAGGCCCTATGTTTCTTTCATAGCGTTCCTGAATGAGATAATGAGATAATCTCATGAGCGTGTTGATGACAGGGCCTGGGCACGGTGGGCTACTGATGTCATTGACCCCGTGTGAAGGCAGGGTGTCTGTGTGTGCAATGGGGGTTTCACAGGAGCGCATGTGTGAGGCCCTGTTATGGGGCCACTTTGTGCTGGACACGGTCTTTGGTCTCTTCCGATGGTAGCAAATGGTCCTCACGCTCGGGGCCACTATGCAAACCAAGGGCAGTCAAGTCAGTGCCCATCAGTGGAAAGTCTACATTTCAGAGTATTTTTAAAGTGTAAACGTCTTACCTTCCAACAAATAATAAGACAACTTTAATTCAATAAAGGTTTGTCTGCTATACACATTTCCTTAGGAAGATGACTTTAGTATTATATAAGAGTGCTTTATAACTGGAATACCAACTGTAGGCAGATAACTGAGGACTGTTCACAACATTTTGTTCCCAAGGCGTGTGTAAGCAGTTACTCTACAATTCTGACATACTTCTGTATAAACAGTGCCTTCCTGCATAGTCTAAAGAATTTACCTCATCTCTGTGAAAGAAACCGCAGGCTCCAATCTGAACTAATTTTTATTCTTCTTGAGTATCTAATTCTTAGCTTAAGAATATCAGTTTTCCTTGCATACTTTGATGTTCCTTTCTCCAAAGAAAATGTGCCGAAATGTGAGAATTACAGCAAAGTGCTTGAAAAAGGATGGCGCAAACTAGAAAGGCTTTATTTTGACACCTAAAGATAAAAAGTGTCCCCATACCTGAATCACGTGGTCATCGCTTGTGATTTCTATGGCTTCATGACAGTGGTCTAATGCTGTAAACACTGAATTACAGGCCCTGAAAGTTGCAAAAGATTGATGTTAGTTCTGCTGGAAAAGCATGAGCATTTCATCTGTTCATTTATCAAAGTAAACAGTTCCTCAGGTTCATTAAAACCAAGTACCTTTCGATACGTTTTGGGGAAAAAAAAAGAAACTTAGCCTTTCAAACTAAATGAATAAACAACAGCATGCATTTCTATGCATATCATACAGAGAGAAGAATGTAATCTGGCAAAATCATCATGGATTGTGGAATGAACTCCGTATGTGCTGGATGAAACCTTCACACTGACACAAGAGAACAAAGATGCAGGAGATGGTCTCATAGGCCCCTATGTTCTGTGTCAATGACATTCTTCTGTTCCATTCACGGCGGCAGTCATGGAGAAGTCCCATCCCCATCAATTAGAAAAATCTAATTAAGCCCAAATTAGATCTGAGGTATTCTGGCCTTTTGCAACAGACACAGAAATAATTTTTTCTTTTCTTACTTTTACGACCTAGATAAGCACGCCTTTACGGTACTTGCTACACCCACCAGCCTGATGAAAGGCAAATACGGCTGAATTCCCCTTGCCTGGTTCATTTCACAGCTCTCCTGGTGGGCACTATTCTTGATGACCTTCCTTGTATATCTGGAATATTTGAAATCATTTCAATTTCTCAATTTCTTGGGCAACATTTTAACTACCTTCCAAATTTAGAGCAACTCCAAATACAGTAAGTTATTTACTATCTAACCCAGCAAGTATGTGGCTACTTACTAGAGCTTTGTTATTTGTACTGGCTGTTTAAAGAATCCCAGTGAAGGCTTTCTTATACATTACCGAAAAAATGTTAATCTACTGGATTGACGTTTCTTCTTATAAAACGAACTCTTATAATGTTATTCATTTTTCCCTCTCATAAGGCATCTAACTTTGCCATTCTATTTTGAACTGTTTACAAGGGAGAGGGCAGAAGAAACTGGGTGAAACTTGGTTCGGTATTTGGCCAGTTATGGGACCTTGGGCAATGTTTTCTCTCTGCTGGCCCTCAGTTTCCTCATCTATAAAATGAAGATAACACATCTTACAGGTTGTTGTAAGAATCAAAACAGTTTATGTGAGGCGTGTCTCAAAATACTTGGGATGATATAAGAATTCAAGACATAGTACTTGTTACTTGTAAGATCTCAGAATAATACTTTTTGTTCTCTAAAGCTTTCAAAGGCTGTTGGTGAGAAGAAAAGTGAATTATAACCTATCTTTTCTCATGAGTGTATCTGAAATATCAAACCAAGAGCTGCTTTCGATAATAGCAAGGCAGCCTGCACAGAAAGGGAAGGATTTTAGCCCATTGACGGGTAGTACTCCTGTCGCTGCAGAGATGAAGACACAGGTGTGGGAGGGTAAGTAAAGTAAGTAATCATGATGCAGGTGAGTGGAGGAGAACATAACCCTAACCCCACTGATATTTCTCATGGGTGTGGGATGTTTTCTTATTTAAATGGCTCCAGTCTAGGGTTCTCAAAAAACTAAAAATAGAACTACCATATGACCCAGCAATTTCACTCCTGGGTATACATCCGAAAAAAACAAACACACTAATTCAAAAACATACATATACCCCAATATTCATAGCAGCATTGGTCACAATAGCCAAGATATGGAAGCAAACCAGGTGTCCATCGACAGATGAATGGATAAAGATGTGATATATATATATACAATGGAATACTATTCAGTCATAAAAAAGAACAAAATTTTGCCGTTTGCAGCAACATGGATGGACTTGGAGGGTATTATGCTAAGTGAAATAAGTAGACAGAGAAAGACAAATACTGTATGATATCACTTACATGTGGAATCTAAAAAACAAAAAAACAAAAAAACCCCAAACTAGTGAATATAACCAAAAAGCAGACTCACAGATATAGAGTACAAACTGGTGGTTACCAGGGGGGAGAGGGAAGGAGGGAGGGGCAATAAGGGGTAAGGGATTAAGAGGTACAAACTATTAGGTATAAAATAAGCTATAAGGATATATTGTATAACAATATTTTATAATAACTATAAATGGAGCATAACCTTTAAAAATTGTAAATCACTATATTGTAACCTATAATATTGTACAGAAACTATACTTCAAATAAAAAGGTAAATAAAATAAAATAAATTGCTCCAGTCTACCTAATATGAACTGTATACTGTCCTATTAGCATTGCTGCATTTGTAAACATGATCATTTAAAATGTGAAAAAGAATTCAAAGAGGACTTTAAAATTGTTACCAAAGTCACTACTGCATCACCTCTCATGAAGAGGCAAGCAAGAGCTAGTCTTATCCCAAGTCTGCTTCAGGCACTTGGGTCCAGAACCCAACTCGGCACAACGGGAAAGCGTTCCCTGTCCTCCAGAAGTCTGATGTGGAAAAGCACCATCTGTGTGGGCTAGTTCCTTAGCTTTGGGAGCTGGATAATTAAGTGTTAAAACATTTGATCAAATGATAAATTCCCCTCTTGCCCAGGTATTTTCTTAAAGTACCTATGTGGCTCAATTAAGTACGTAAACAGCTGCTTCAGAGTATGACTGTTCTTGTCAATTCAACAGGCTGCCTCATACAAGATGTTAGCTCCAACTGCCAAAACGTATCTATTAGATGTTCACTGCAAAGCTATACACTATCCTGTGAGAGTATAATGCCCAATGGGACAAAGCAGATCCTTATTGACAGTGAAAGTATATTGGCAGGACAAGTAGATTATTGCCTCGGTGACAAACGCTACTGGACTGCCATGTGTAGATCTAGGCTTTAAGCCAATTTGGTTGATGGTTCTATTTAAATAAACCTGCAGCAAAATGAGGTAATCAATTTGAATCATGTTCCTAAAGTTTGGGAATTTAATTGCTTGTATTAATTATTAATATTCTTCATGCAGAAGAACCTTAGCTTTATTAATTTTCTGTTCTTGGGAAACCACGTAACTCTGCACCTCAACTGTATTTTAGTAGCCTTCAGTTTGAGAAGCTGGAAAATTGGAAAAAGCACAAGGGAACCAGAGCCCATGTAGCGCTAGTGATGTAACCATTTCCCCTTCATCTTCTTAAAAGTCCGTGAAGGTCTGCAGGGAAAAAGTAAATATTACAGGGACCCAGGTAGAAAGTCTACAAAGAACATAGTGCTCTGATGGGGTGCAGGGTGCATCCGACTTAAAGCAGGGTGCCTGGATTCTACTCCAGCGCTGCCACCCACAAGTTGAGTAGCTGTGATCGTGCCCAGAGTCTTCCCGGCTCTCAGCGTTCCTCTGTCAGTTGTCTGGGGCGGTTGGGTTACATGACCTCCTGTGTCCCTAACAAAGGCACCCCGGAATCTACTCAAACAAAACACAAACACCCCACCGCAGACAGACACACACACACAAGGGTAGGACTGGGCAAGGTGGTAGCGTGCAGGGAGAAGACTCTGAACACAAAGCCACATCCCAGCAGGGGTTCGGAAGCAGCAGGGAGGGGGCTGTGGACTTGCTATCCACCAGCACCGCTCCTGGGCAGTGACGCAGCAGGGGCCGGTTACTTTAATCCGTCACAGATCAGTTTCTACTTCCGTAACACAACGGGGCTGTCACGCAGAGCCCACGTGAGGATAAAGTGCTCTATAAATATCAGTTAATAATGAGAGATGTAGTGTTCCACGGAATACTAAGGTTTGCCCATCAGAAACTGATTCTAAAATGAAGCACTGCTACTGTCTTAAGATTTGGAGTAAAATAAACATGATGATTTGGGTGTAACCCCTAGGTAACAGATATCAGACTGCCTAATGATGAAATAATAGCTCATACTTGATTAGTGTAAACTCATCAGCTTAAACTCTCAATAAATAGCCAAATCCTATCTGTATTTTGGTTAACATAGTTCTTTTCATGATAAAGAAGCATAAAAACATAAACAATAAACGGTCATCAGTTAGTCCATACTTCCCTAGACATTCCCCCTTTCATGAGTTCTGTTCAATAAAGTAATTCATCACATGCACACAGAAATGTGATTTTGTTCTGTCTTTAAAAGTTATTCCTACATAATGGAATTTTTAAATCAGGTATGTTATGTTTGATCACATGATCTTTTTTTTCTTGGTTAAGTTAATATGGTTACCATACATGAAGACTGGACAGAAGCGTCTGCCTTCAACATTCAACATCATCCTTGCAGTACAGACTGTCCTTGCAGAATGCTAGTAATGTCACATATTTAGCTGCAGCTGGGGGTGGAATTGCAGGGAAAAGTATGATATAATTAGACTATAATTATTCTGGCATTGTATAACAAAGAGCCTCATTTTCCCCGTCTGCAGCAAGTGACAACGTTGCCTGCCAACCTCTGGGGTGCAGGTAGATGCTTTAGACATCCTTGAATGCCCTAAGGAGCTGGGAAGGCCACGGAGGGTCACTGTCCACCCCCATCCGCTGGGCCCAGATATCATACACCCAGGGAGAGTCAAACCACACACACACACCATACTCCTCCAAAAGACATAAAAGAAGCTGGAGACAGTTGAGGTCAACCAGCCAAAAGTCATCAAAAGAAACTGACCATTTAGTCCTCCTCTGTCTTCTCCTATGGAGAACTCTTGCCTTCCCTCCCCCTCTGCAGGGGTTGCTCTTGTGCTCGTTGCTTGGGGACGTCCCAACCAGCCAAGCTGAAGCTGATGCGGAAGGTGAGGGGACTGGGCTTCTGGGCAAACCCACCTTCCTGGGACCGCTGCTGCCTGGGCGAGGTCCATTCATCAGCTTTACGTTGATTTGTATTAAGAAGCTGAGCCTTTTCAACGAGCCCAACGCTCCCAAACAGCTCATCACTGAGGGGTGAGAAGTTATGGCACTCACAGAGTGTTGTGTAGTTAGAACCTTGCCGAGTTCTCAACCTAACGAGTCCTTGAAAAGTTTTCAGTGCCCTGGCTCTAAGCAGATTTCATCAGCACGGTAACTTGAAGCCCTTTCATTTAGCCCTGGTGCTGCCTGGGGATGTTTATTTCAAACAGCCAGACCTGCCTTTGCCACGCCCGCCATGGGCAAGGCGCCTTCGGACCTCTTACATGTGCCATCACATTGAATGCTGCCTAAGAAAACTCAAGCAGTCATTTAAAATAAAAGGAGGAGTGCTTGCTTCGGCAGCACATGTACTAAAACTGGGACGATACAGAGGAGATTAGCATGGCCCCTGCGCCAGGATGACAAGCAAATTCGTGAAGCGTTCCATATTTTTATAAAAAATGAGATACTAAAATAAATAAGTAAATAAAATGAGGGAATTACCTATCAAAGCAATAAGGCGTCTGCTGTTCATTTTTGTTGTAGAAAACGCACGGTTGAAGAATTAAACCAAAATGAAATCTCTCTTTTCCTAATCCTATTTATTGTGAAAACATCTAAAATAAAAGTACAAAGTCTTTTTACCCTAAATAAAAACAGAAGAGAGCCCCAGGAATAAAAACAATTAATGTACAATTAAAACTCATAGGTTGCTATAGTAAAGGCAATGCGGTTTTCTTACGAAATTCTATGAAGTTCTCTGCAGGTAATAAATATATGGATACAAAGAAACCAAGGGATTTAACTGACATTCAAAAATCTTTGGCAATCTTCCTTACCAACGAATTTCCACTGGTTTGAGATTCTTTTTTTAATACTTTCCCACCTCAAAAGGGACTGTTTATCCCCACACTTAATTTCTTAGAGCTCTCTATCCACCAAACAGTTGACTTCCCTGAGCAGGGTGAACCCCAGAAGGGCCTGCCTCTGGGGGTTCATGCCAATCCATTTTTCTTCCAAGGGACAGAGGAGGGCTCTGAAAAGTTAAGTTTAGAAAGGGTTCTGTTCTCTCTGAATGCAAATTCAGTAATCAAGGTAAGAAGTATAACCATTTCAATGAGATGCTATCCTTATTTTTCACCGAGCCTGAAAGCCTTGTGACCCCTCAGTGGGCCAGAGAGAGAAGCCAGAGCCCTTCTGGCATCCCATAGCCGGGAGCCACTTGGGACTGGTCTCCCAGAGGCCGCGGGCTATGAAGAGCCTCTTCTTTCCCCTGCTCTCTCTGCTGAAGCGGGGCAGGTTGAAGAAATCAGGGTCCTAAGAGTGTGCTGGAGTAGAGCCTGAACAAAACCAGGCATGGGCTACAACTCTGATACTCCAAGACGTCCCAGAAGCAGAGCATCCTAGCACCGAGACGCTGAGAGAATCTGTTCGTCTCAGAAGTAAGCACCAGAGAGAAGTTCTTAAAGCACTAGGCATGCGTAAAGAGACTTAACATCAGTTTCTTGAAGATACTCCATGCATATTGAGGCCATAAGCAGGCCTCATGAAATTGCTATCATGGATACGTAGCAATTACCATAGTTAGCATAATAAATATTCCCACGGGTTTGCCCCTATCTATAACAATCCAAGTAGGAATGTATAAATGTTGCAAGTACAAAGTCATCCTCAAAGGCTATTCTTAATCTCGATCTAATTGTACAGAAGTCAAACAGTACTTTTCCTAGTGTATAATTTTAAAACTGCTGTAAATAGTGGAAAATACTGTCAAAAGAAGAAACGCCTCCAACTTATTTCATTACACCAATGGGCTCCCAGTTTAGACTCTGCCATTTACCAGCTACGGTTACTTGTTCAACAGCTTCAGAATCCCTGGGATTCCGCTAAGAACCAGTGAACCTCAGCCTGAGGACAGACAAGCTTTGCTACAGAATGGTTAACCTTGTATTCATCCTATTTTGCTACATACCTTAACTTGAACTGTGAGCGAACTTCCCCATGTTCTATTTGAATCAGTTCATTATAGCAAGCAATTATGCTGCTATTCTCCATAAATCTCTGGAAAAAAAGCAAAGGTAATACATAAGACATATACAATTACTTCTTAAATAGTCAAAGAAGCTTAACAGTTTCTCCAACCTCAGGTAACTCTGTTATATAAGACAACTAGTAGGTAGGATGAGATTAAATAAAACAGTTGTCAAGTGTTTGAAATGCTTGTTTAAATGTATAACAAACAAGACAGCAGAAACATTGCATAGTTATTTATAACAAAGGTGGGAAAAACATTATTAACACTCACAGGAAAATAAACACACAAGGGATAGAACACCTCCCCCAGCCTTGCTAATTACTGAAACACCTGTGCTTCTGTTGCACTAAGGAAAGTCTTCTAAAACCTGAGCCTAGATGTGTTCACCGCATACCACGCTACGAGTGATGTCTTCTGGTGGGGAGAGGCAGTCTTTGCTTCCTTCCTAATCTTCTGAGTGCCTAACGCATCCTGCCTCTTCTCATGTCTGTCTGACTGTCTGTCTGTCTGTCTGTCTCTCTCACATACACACACACACACTCTCTTCCACACATCTAGCATGGATGGCTTCTCCCTGTGGAATATCTGAGAAGCTCTCTGACTTTCCCTGTGCCTCTGGTCCCCACCAGCCCAGGAGGAAGCTGGGAAGGGCTAAGGACAGAGGGGGAACCATGAACACACACAGAGGGAAATGCTTTCTATTTACAAAGCAAAGTTAAACATGGTGAGCTTCTGGTTCAGCTTCTGGACGGGTGGAGATGATGTGTCAGTCTGTAACTGAGCTCTGAGTGGTGTTAGCTGATGCTTCATGAAGTACAAAAAAGGATCTGTGATAAAATAAGTCTTTGAAAAGGTTGGGATAAACAGTTTCCTTTGTTTTAAAACGAAAACCTCAGAAGTAAACTTTTGTTGACTAAGTCTAATTTATTTGCCTTAGGCTTTTATTATGCCTCTGTGTCTAGGTATATATTTTATATGTATATATTTATATATATATAAAATCATTCTATATTTTCACTTTCATATTTACGTAGTAACGTTTTTCCTTTTTATTTATTTGTTTATTTAACATCTTTATTGGACTATAATTGTTTTACAATGTTGTGTTAGTTTCTGCTGTATAAAAAAGTGAATCAGCTATACATATACATATATCCCTGTAACCCCTCCCTGTAGTGTCTCCCTCCCACCCTCCCTATCCCACCACTCTAGGTGGTCACAAAGCACTGAGCTGATCTCCCTATGCTATGCGGCTGCTTCCCACTAGCTATTTTACATTTGGTAGTGTATGTATGTCAATGCCACTCTTTCACTTCATCCCAGCTTATCCTTCCCCCTCCCCGTGTCCTCGAGTCCATTCCCTACATCTGCGTCTTTATTCCTGTCCGGCCCCTAGGTTCGTCAGAACCAATTTTTTTTTTTTAGATTCCATATATATGTGTTAGCACACGGTATTTGTTTTTCTCTTTCTGACTTATTTCACTCTGTATGACAGACTCTAGGTCCATCCACCTCACTACAAATGACCCAATTTCGTTTCTTTTTATGGCTGAGTAATATTCCATTGCATATATGTGCTACATCTTCTTCATCCATTCATCTGCCGATGGACACTTAGGTTGATTCCATGACCTGGCTGTTGTAAATAGAGATGCAATGAACACTGTGGTACGTGACTTTTTTTTTTCTTTTTTGCAGGACACGGGCCTCTCACTGTTGTGGCCTCTCCCATTGCGGAGCACAGGCTCTGGATGCGCAGGCCCAGCGGCCATGGCTCACGGGCCCAGCCGCTCAGCGGCCTGTGGGATCTTCCCAGACCAGGACACGAACCCGTGTCCCCTGCATCAGCAGGCGGACTCTCAACCACTGCGCCACCAGGGAAGCCCTACTTCTTTTTTTATTTGGATTCCTTTTCTTTCTTTTTCTTCTCTGATTGCTGTGGCTAAAACTTCCAAAACTGTGTTGAATTTTGTCAACAGCTTTTTCTGCATCTATTGAGATGATCATATGGTTTTTCTCCTTCAGTTTGTTAATATTGTTTATCACATTGATTGATTTGCATATATTGAAGAATCCTTGCATTCCTGGGATAAACCCCACTTGATCATGGTGTATGATCCTTCTAATGTGCTGTTGGATTCTGTTTGCTAGTATTTTGTTGAGGATTTTTGCATCTGTGTTCATCAGTGATATTGGCCTATAGTTTTCTTTTTTTGTGAACACCTTTGTCTGGTTTGGGTATCAGGATGATGGCGGCCTCATGGAATGAGTTTGGGAGTGTTCCTCCCTCTGTTATATTTTGGAAGACTTTGAGAAGTTTTGGTACTAGCTCTCCTCTAAATGTTTGATAGAATTTGCCTATGAAGCCATCTGGTCCTGGGCTTTTGTTCATTGGAAGATTTTTAATCACAGTGCTTGTGATTTTTAATTTCAGTGCCTGTGATTGGTCTGTTTATATTTTCAACTTCTTCCTGGTTCAGTCTCAGAAGGTTGTGCTAAGAATTTGTCCATTGCTTCCAGGTTGTCCATTTTATTGGCATATAGTTGCTTGTAGTAATCTCTTGTGGTCATTTGTATTTCTGCAGTGTCAGTTGTTACTTCTCCTTTTTCATTTCTAATTCTATAGATTTGAGTCTTCTCCCTTTTTTTCTTGATGAGTCTGGTTAATGGTTTATCAATTTTGTTTATCTTCTCAAAGAAACAGCTTTTACTTTTATTGATCTTTGCTATTGTTTCCTTCATTTCTTTTTCATTTATTTCTGAGCTCATCTTTATGATTTCTTTCCTTCTGCTAACTTTGGAGTTTTTTTGTTCTTCTTTCTCCAATTGCTTTAGGTGTAAGGTGAGATTGTTTATTTGAGATGTTTCTTGTTTCTTAGGGTAGGATTGTATTGCTATAAACTTCCCTCTTAGGACTGCTTTTGCTGCATCTCGTAGGTGTTGGGTTGTCGTGTTTTCATTTCTTTCTAGGTATTTATGATTTCCTATTTGATTTCTTCAGTGATCTCTTGGGTATTTAGTAGTGTACTGTTTCACCTCCGTGTTTGTATTTTTTTACAGATTTTTTCCTGTAATTGATACCTAGTCTCATAGCATTGTGGTTGGAAAAGATACTTGATACGATTTCAATTTTCTTATATTTACCAAGGCTTGATTTGTGACCCAAGATATGATCTATCCTGGAGAATGTTGCATGAGCACTTGAAAGTGTATTCTGTTGTTTTTGGATGGAATGTCCTATAAATATCAATTAATTCCATCTTGTTTAATGTGTCATTTAAAGCTTGTGTTTCCTTATTTATTTTCATTTTGGATGATCTGTCCATTGGTGAAAGTGGGGTGTTAAAGTACCCTACTATTATTGTGTTACTGGCGATTTCCCCTTTGGCTGTTAGCATTTGCCTTATGTATTGAGGTTTTCCTATGTTGGGTGCATAAATATTTACAAGTGTTATATTTTCTTCTTGGATTGATCCCTTAATCATTATGTAGTATCCTTCTTTGTCTCTTGTAATAGTCTTTATTTTAAAGTCTATTTTGTCTGATAAGAGAATTGCTACTCCAGCTTTCTTTTGATTTCCATTTGCATGGACTATCTTTTTCCATCCCCTCACTTTCAGTCTGTATGTGTCCCTCAGTCTGAAGTGAGTCTCTTGTAAACAGCATATATACCCGACTTGTTTTTGTATTCATTCAGCCAGTGTGTGTCTTTTGGTTGGAGCATTTAATCCATTTACACGTAAGGTAGTTATCGATATGTATGTTCGTATTACCTTTTTCTTAATTGTTTGGGGTTTGTTATTGTAGGTCTTTTCCTTCTCCTGTTTCCTGCCTAGAGAAGTTCCTTTAGCATTTGTTGTAAAGCTGGTTTGGTGGTGCTGAATTCTTCAGCTTTTGCTTGTCTGTAAACCTTTTAATTTCTCCATCAAATCTGAATGAGATCCTTGCTGGGTAGAGTAATCGTGGTTGTAGGTTTTTCCCTTTCATCACTTTAAATATGTCCTGCCACTCCATTCTGGCTCGCAGAGTTTCTGCTGAACATCAGCTGTTAACCTTATGGGGATTCCATGTATGTTAATTGTTGCTTTTCCCTTGCTGCTTTAAATATTTTTTCTTTGTATTTAATTTTGATAGTTTGATTAATATGTGTCTTGGCATGTTTGTCCTTGGATTTATCCTGTATGGGACCCTCTGAGCTTCCTGGACTTGATTGACTATTTCCTTACCAATATTAGGCAAGTTTTCAACTATAATCTATTCAAATATTTTCTCAGTCCCTTTCTTTTTCTCTTCGTCTTCTGGGACCCCTATAATTCGAATGTTGGTGCGTTTAATGTTTTCCCAGTGGTCTCTGAGACTGTCCTCAATTCTTTTCATTCTTTTTTCTTTATTCTGCTCTGCAGTAGTTGATTCCATTATTTTATCTTCCAGGTCACTTATCTGTTCTTCTGCCTTGGTTATTCTGCTATTGATTCCTTCTAGAGAATTTTTAATTTCATTTATTGTGTTGTTCATCATTGTTTGTTTGTCGTTTAGCTCTTCTAGGTCTTGTTAAATGTTTCTTGTATTTTCTCCATTCTATTTCCAAGATTTTGGATCATCTTTACAATCATTGCTCTGAATTCTTTCTCAGGTAGACTGCCTATTTCCTCTCCATATGTTTGGTCTGGTGGATTTTTATCTTGCTCCTTCATCTGCTGCATATTTCTCTGTCTTCTCATTTTGCTTAGCTTACTGTGTCTGGGGTCTCCTTTTCACAGGGTGCAGGTTCGTAGTTCCCATTTTTTTTGGTGTCTGTCCCCAGTGGGTAAGGTTGGTTCAGTGGCTCGTGTAGGCTTCCTGGTGGAAGGTACTGGTACCTGTGTTCTGGTGAATGAGGCTGGATCTTGGCTTTCTGGTAGGCAGGACCATGTCTGGTGGTGTGTTTTGGGGTGTCTGTGAACATATTATGATTTTAGGCAGCATCTCTGCTAGTGGGTGGGGTTGTGTTCCTGTCTTGCTAGTTGTTCGGCATGGGGTGTTCAGCACTGGAGTTTGCTGGTTGTTGGATGGAGCTGGGTCTTAGCGTTGAGATGGAGATCTCTGGGACAGCTCTCGTCGACTGCTATTACGTGGTGCCGGGAGGTCTCTCGTGGTCCAATGTCCTGAACTCGGCTCTCCCACCTCAGAGGCTCAGGCCTGACAGCCAGCCGGAGCACCAAGACCCTTTTGGGAAGTCTGAGGTCTTCTGCCAGTGTTCAGTAGGTGTTCTGTAGGAGTTGTTCCACATGTAGATGTATTTTGTTTGTTTGTTTGTTTTTTGCATACGTGGGCCTCTCACTGTTGTGGCCTCTCCCGTTGTGGAGCACAGGCTCCGGATGCGCAGGCTCACAGGCCCAGCCGCTCTGCGGCATGTGGGATCTTCCCGGACCAGGGCACGAACCCGTGTCCCCTGCATTGGCAGGCGGACTCTCAACCACTGCGCCACCAGGGAAGCCCTGTAGATGTATTTTTGATGTATTTGTGGGGAGGAAGGTGATCTCCACGTCTTACTCCTCTGCCATCTTGAAGGTCCTACCGTAATTTTTTATAATTCTTATTTTTCTTTAGGTCTCCTAAGAACTTCCAGTGTGGTGAAGATCAGCCTTCTGTTAGGTGATGGTTTCTAAACATTGGAGCACTTTGTTTGCACATAAGTGGCACTCAGTAAGTGTTTTGTAGACTAAGGGCAGTGGGAAAATATTTTGGGAAGTTTTTAGACTATCATTAACCCCGAAATCTGAAATAAATTGAGTGAACCAAGAACAGTGATCTTCAAACTTCAACATGCTAAGAATAACCTGGGTGTTTGGTTTAAAATGCAGCTTCCCGGGCCCCACTTCCAGAAACGTAGGCAGGTGTCTTTAGTACAGGATTTCTCCATATGCTTGGGTGCGATGCTGCTAACATGCACTGTACCTTCTCAGGGGCAAGAGGAGGAGAATCAGAGTCTTCACTGATTTTCCACACTTACTCGACCACAGAAGCCTTTTGTCATGGACACCTATTAAAAGCTTTGGGACACTAGCATTCCATGGAACACTTTGGGAAACGTGACTTTGGTGGACCCGGCATGAAGTTGGGAGTTAAACACCAAGTATTTGCATCTTGACTTATTATGAGTATGAGCTCTGCAAGGTAGTCATTTTGAGCCTGTTTCCTCCTCTGCAGAAATGGAGAAAATACCAAACCTCTCATCTGTAGATGAGGATCAAGTCAGTCCCCTAGAATGGAGCCCGACAAATAATAAACCTTGGTTCTCCACTTCTTCCTCCACACAACGTCTCTCCAGGGAGGAACTGTGTCGGACTGCCATATCCCCGACACGCCTAGCACACCACCTTGCACAGAGTAAGTGCTCCATAAAGACTTGCTGAATGAACTTGTAAACATCATTCCAAACAGCAAAGGGGTACACAAAGGCTCATACAAAAACAAGCTGCAATCGCCCTTTGCTAAGATGCTCTTTCTAAAAACTCAGAGTGGGCTGAGCACCGTGCAGTCGGCCACTCACGCACAGCTATAGCGGCTTCAAGAGGAGCTGCTCTGGGATATTTCATGGTACAATGTGTTCCTGGATCCCCACTCAGGGACCCATCAACTGAGGCACTGGTCAATTAGCTAGTAACACAGAGCCGAGTTTCAGCAGATGATTTAATACAATCACAACAACTCAGAGATGGGAAACAACTTCACAGAAGGCAAGAAGAATAGCTGGCATATTTGGAAGGGTGTTTGGGTAGAAAGTTGCCAGAGACAAGATTTTGCCCCCAAAAAAGGAGACCAGCCACCTGGAGAGCAGCCTTGGCCGATTCTGTGCCACTGTAACTCAGGAGGGAAAGCCTGTTAGGTGCGGCAGCTTCTCTCAGAAAGAGCCCCAACTCCTTGGGGGCAACCTGACCTGGCTAGCAAAGGGCCTTGATCAGACCCAGCACTAAAGACTACCAGGTGGCCCCTGACAGGTACTGTTTTTCATGCTTCCACAAAGGGCTTTACTCACCATGGCTGCCTGCAAAAAGCAGCATCATATCAAGACAGAGAAACGAAACCTTCCAGAGCAGCACAGACAGGTTACAAAAAAGAATAAAAAGGAACAATGGTATTTTCCCTCCTAAATTCACTTAATAGCGTTTGCACCCAAACAGGGCAGATGTCTCTCCTAAGCTTTTCTGTGAGTAGACGTGCAATCTCAGCCCCCCAGACAAGACGCTATCACTCCTAATGACACCAATCTCCACACCAGTTGGTCAGAGGCAGGATTGGTGAACTAAAAGCTGAATTCCAAAAGGGCACTCAACAGCACCTATGGCAACGGGGGCTCATGGCCATAACCCACGGCGTGTCTTGCCTGCCCCAGCCCCTCCACAGGTCATGTGGAGAACCTCCATGCTCACATTCTGAGAGGCCCTGCCTCAGATGTGAAGGACAGCCTTGGGCTGAGGTGCATGGGTGGTCAACGTTACATGGAAGATTTATGAAAACTGAGTAATTTTAAGTCATTCCTCAGAAAATGAGTAAGTAAAGAAAAGACGTCCCAGCCACACGACTTCTTGGATGACTTTCCTTTTGCAACTCTCCATTCCGAAACTCAGAAGCATTGTCTCGTTAAGCTGTGGCAAGCACGCCAGAACGGCGTCTGGAACCGAGTGCCAGCCTCTGAGAGATGCGATGACGGACAGGAGGGAAGAGTGAAGGGAGTGAGTGATACTGCTGACCGGAAACATTCATTTCTATCACACTTGTGAACCGCAGCACTGCCTTCAACGTTTTATACAGCACTGCTGCTTCTCCACGGAAGCACACCAAAGCACAAAACAACTGCATCCCGTGGGCAATTTCTGCTTCTCTGTGATTGACAATAAACAAGGGATCTTTTTGAATCCAGGGTAGCCAACCACCATTGCTTAAAGCACCCAAAGGAATTTTCATAATTCACAAGGCACTGGCAGTCTCCTATTTTTGAAGGAAAAGGACGCATCACACCATCTATTTGAGATTCAGATTACTCCTATCAAAAGACCTTGAGATACCAGGTAAACCTAGTTATTTAGGTTGTTGGTAAGTCTCCTTAATCAATCTCAATCTTCTAGTTGAGTAGCAGGGTCAAAGAACTTTTCCTTGCTGATGTTTTTGGTTTAAACCAGGAGTTCACAAGATGCCACAAGTCACTTGCTTGAGTTTAAATTACCCGCAAAAGTTGCCCAAGTCAACTGTGACCTCTACCTTATTTTTTCCAAAGGGTAATCTTTTATTTTTTTAATAGAAGAAATATACGCTTGTTATTTAAAAAATTCAAGCATATAAAGTGAGGTCCTCCACAATTTCTCCGTAAGGGTTTGTAATATTTTAATATTATGAAATACATTTCCTTTAAACAGTCATGTTTTGATTATCTTTCTCCACCCCTTTTCTTCTCTCTTTCAAATCCATCATGTTGTTTTCTGTTTGCATGCACACGGCCTCACCTCCAACCAAACCTTCAGACTGCCCTTACCCTGAGATACTGGGTAAGCCTAGGTATTTAGTTTGTTAAGTTTCCTTGGAGTAATCAGTCTTCATCCCCAAGTTGAATATCAGTGTTATTCATGTAGTTGTCACTCAGAATTTTTCTTTGCTGACATTTATGGCTTCAATGAGGAGTTCCCAAGATGCTATTGCTGTCATGGGCCTGTCCCCAGGGTGTAAGCTGTGGCTGGGCCCTTGATGAACACAGAGCCCTGGGTGCCGATCTGGTGGACTAACTATATGTAATCACACACATACACGCTAACTGACCGGACTGATTTAAATGAGATTACTTTGGGACTAGAGAATTTCGACCTGATATAAGAAGACAGGTTTTTTACATCATTACATATCTGTAGCTAAGATATATGAAGTTATGAGAGAAAAAGGAAAAAAGCCTGACCAGCAGGTGCTCGTCACCATCCCATGAGAACAACTGCTTCCTTTCCCTCACAGTTCTGGGGCTGAATGCCTATAACAGTATGCTTAGCTGTTTGGCTAAGGTTAGGTATCTGTATCTGAGAGAGGTGCTAGTTCATCTTTTACATACCCGGTTGAAGCCTGCGTGCAGAAGAGGGAGGACCGAGGCCTCTTCATAGTCGCCGGATCTGTAGCAAAGCAGAAAATGTGGTCACTCAGCAGATATACAAACCGGGATTCCTCACACTGAAACTCGGAGAGCGCAAGGCAAGCAGGGAGATGGCTGTGAGGGTGACTTCCTGCCCAGCACATGCCCGCAGGGTGCACCTGCCTTGTAAGAACCCAGACTCCCACGTCCGCCTTCAGGTGCAGAAAGAACACAGACAGTAGAAGGAACTCCAGCAGTGTGCATGAAAGGTGCACACGACAGGCCCTCCAACTCTGGGCTCCTTGGGAGTTGGAGCAAATGTACCGGAGCAGTTCCCATAAAGGGACAAGGAAGGTGCAACGCTCATCTCAGAGACCACTGTCCTCTTTGAGATCCCCAAACCTTCTGGAAGCACGACTCCCACCCCAAGACTTAGGTGGGTCCAACTCTCAGGAAGACAACTGGCATTAGAGGCTGCAGCACCCCAGAGCCAATGGGGAAGAAGTGTCATCAGGAAAGCCAAGTGAGAAGGGAAGAAGACAGAAATTGATTACTGGCACTCATCTCAGGGGCGGTTTCCTACACTGAGCCTGCAGTTGGGTCTCAGAACTTCAGTTTGAATACAAGGACGGGGTGGGGGTCAGCTGGTCATGAAGTCATGCTGTAGCTCTGCTGCCACCTTTATGAGAAACGGTGTCCCCAAGACAGCGAGCAAGTAGCATGGCGTACATACCTTAGAAAACAGGGAAGAAAAATGGGACAATGGGGACTGGGTGGAGAAGCAGAAAGAGAACAGGAAGAGAAATCCCAGTGCCTATTTGTGGCATTACCTGTGGCATTTTCCCAGCAGGGAAAAGCTGTCCTCCCTACCCCCTTTCCTCCTTAGGAACTCAAGGTTCTACCCTCTCTGAACAATAATCAGTAGGGGCACAAAAGGGCTCCAAGGGTATTAATAATGTTCTATTTCATAAGCTGGTGGCACAAGCAGCATTAATTTTATTATTAACTTCCTCTATAAATGAAATACTTAAAAAATAGGGGAAAAAAAGTGAAAAATAATAACAAGACACAGCAAGCCATTACTTGTCAAGGACAAGTACACATGAATAAGAAAAAAAATGAATGTTTTGTCTTGGGCCCATGGAATCAGCCAGGCTTGGGGAAATGCTGTGTGGCTTGGTACCCTTCTGGTACCCATGTCAAGACCCTAAGACCCTGTTAAGCGCTCACATCCCCAGAAGATAAAATATAAGCAAGAGGGCTGAAGAAGGCTAGTCTCACATCTCGGTTCCCCTCGCTCTTTCTTGCTGAGATCCCATCCCCCATCAAGATGGCAAGATGGTAAGAAACCAATGGGACAGTTTCTTCACTTTCCTGGGCCAAGAGCCTGTGGTAGGTGTCCAAGTGAAGAGACACAGCTCCTATCAAGAGACTCAAGGAGCAGCAGGTGAGGAGAAGTCTTTGGTTAGGGCAAGACTTGGAAGCCAGGATTTCCCACTGTTCCAATATGGCTTTGGAATGGATATTTCAAATCTCCCCTGGGCGGGGCCTGCCTGAGGGAGGCTGAAACTCTGAGTTGCTGGCCTGTCAGCTCCTTCAGGGCAGAATCTGTGCCAGTCACCACAGTGGGGCCATCCTGCTGTCCTGCTTCTAGCCACGTAACAGTCCCAACATACACTGCACCATCCTTTTCTTGCGGTGGCTTTAGCGCCTGCTCTCATGCTATAATCTGTTTCTTCTTAAGTGAAAAAAATAAGCATTCTCCTATCTCTTTTCTTCAAAGAGAAAAGATAAGCTGGAACGATGTTCTCTCCAGACCTCCTCCTCCCCAGATTCTCTACTCATTTCCAGCATATAATGAGTAACCATTTTTTTCTTGAAGTGTGTATGTGCTGACAGAAATTAGAGAGGGTAAAGAGAAAAATCCAAATATTTCCAGAAACTTGCAAAACAAAGAAAATCCCAAGTAAGATCTAAGGTTGTTGCTGTGAGGCCAAAGACCTCCCCCTTGCTTTGCCAGCTCAAAGGCTGAATTACAACAGACCAATGTTTCAGGAGGAAGAGTAGTATTCCCAGCTGGGAACGGGAGGTGAGCTTACGCTTGTGAAACCACCGCAAGAATCACCGTGTGCTCCGAGGGATTTGTGGCCCGGATCGACCTGCAAGGAGAAAGCTCCAAGTCAAACCAGTGATTACGCCTTGTTCCGTTACCAGAATACAGGACTTCTTCACAGTGAAAATGGCACAAAATCAAATGTCCCTGTAAAGAAGAAGTCTGAAAACACATGGAAAACAACAAAAAAAGATGCCCTTGTGGATTAGGACAATCTCTTTCTTTTACTAAAAAAAAAAAAAAAAAAAAAAATTTAACTCCCAGGCAATTCTCCAGTAGGTCAGACCTGCCAATTTTCCACTTCAAAAACTGGCAAATTCCACTTAACTTCCATGTTTTCTGATTGAAATTCCACTCTGCAAGAAAATTGGCAGTCCTACAATTCTCTAGTTATCAATTTGTACTTAGGGAGCTAACTGGGATGGATCTTTTTTTCTTTTAAAATAGTAGATAGTTCAGAAAGTTGCCCTGAGAAGGACTGCTGGCAGATGGATGTACACGTGCAGGTTAAGGTCTTTTAAAAATTTCACAAAGAGCCATCTCAATTTTTCAGTTGTACTGTTATTTGTGCTCAAATACTTTAAACAACTGAGTCATCAACTAGGGCTGAGAAATGGTCAACACAGTAACTGTCACTATAATGATATTTGTTGTACCATGACCGCCTGTATATCATTTGTTTATTCCCTAGGAATTTAACAGGGTTAAAATATGTAAGGATATAGAATTTTGAGGTCCATGATGCCAGAAAATGTGTTATGCTGCAGCTCAGATTCTGGATTATTTTGGTCAGGGGTCATGAGTTGGATGAACTCTTAATAAAGGGCCACATGCTTGAGTCTTAGTACAAATAAGTATGCTTGTTTCCATCCATCTCCTTGGTCTGACCTCTCTTTATTTCGAGATCCTTCAGAAGGGAACCAACACCTCTAAGAACAGAAGGCTGAGGAATTTGTGAAACAACCTGTATTTGTTTCTTTCTAGCTACTGGCATTTCTGCCCCTCTCCCATTTTTTTTTTTTTTTTTTTGGCGGTACGCGGGCCTCTCACTGTTGTAGCCTCTCCCGTTGTGGAGCACAGGCTCTGGACGCGCAGGCTCAGCGGCCATGGCTCATGGGCCCAGCCGCTCCGCGGCATGTGGGATCCTCCCAGACTGGGGCACGAACCCGTGTCCTCTGCATTGGCAGGCGGACTGTCAACCACTGCGCCACCAGGGAAGCCCCCCTCTCCATTTTAAGGTGTATGCATTACTGCTCCCCCAGGGACAGCCAGCTCATACTGCTTCATCCTCTTTGACTAAATTTCTTCACCTTTCTCTAAAAATGTACCTTCCCCATGTCCTATTCCTTGAGACCTCACTCTATGTGAGTAGAAGGCTCAAGAAAAGACCAGCTGCTGTCTTCCTGGGAAATGAAGGTTCCCCTTGCGGATAAATGGTATTTGAACGAGCTCTTTTGGAGAGACGCCTGAACTCACTATGGGCAGCAGGGGTAATGCCAGCCCAGACCACTTCCCACTCAGCCACCCTACCCCCTACCACGTCCTGGTAACATGAAGCTACACTTATCTCCTACTTAGGAGCCTACTGAAATCTCAGCAGAAATACCAGGTGCACCTAATGAAAAAAAATGTACAGTTTCAGAGGTGCGCTCTCATCTCTAGGGAGATGCTAAACACCTCTCACCTTCCTTCAGCCTCTTCCACCCCCAGGAGGTGTCATGGGTACACTGCTGGGCTGCATTCTAAGGGGTGGGGCTTAGGCAAGAGAAAACACGTTATGAACATAACTGGGCTGGAGCTCACGCTTGCTTAGCTTCTTTTGAGATTGGCTTCTGTGTTTTAGGTCCCTTCCTGCTGCTGACCTCTTCTCTCTCATTCCTCCAAAGGAACTGGTGTGGCCAGAGAGACCTGGACCTCTTCCTGGTTGAGAGGACTAAGGGGGAGCGGGGCACAGGTGAGGCCAGGGTCCAAGGAAGCATGCTAAGCTAAGGTCCAGTCCAGCTCAAAAACCAGAGATCTTGGGCCATAGATGACAATGAAGAAGGCATATCTGCTGGGAATGCGTCCCCACTCATCTTAGGGAAGGTGTGCTGGCAGTCCAGCATTCAGGAATCTCACCATCCTCAATGTGACTGGTAACAGTCAGTAAACGCACCAGCAGACACATAACCTGGCTTCTGAACTGCACTGATGCCCCACTGTTTTTCTGTGCAGCTAAGACAAACATTCACTCATCAGGAAACAAAACTACATTTCTTTATATTCAAGGAAGATTACGAAGCTTACCTGCTAACTGGGGCCTTTGCCTGAATTAAAAGAATTCTTCCTATTCATTTCTTCTTTTTACATCTGAAGCCTGTCTTAAATCATTCTATATATGCACAAAGGATTGTGCTATTTCTACTACAAAATCATGTAAGAAGAGTAAGTGGAGACCAAGAAAAAGCAGACCTGCTTAATTATAAGAGACCCCATTCTAGCCTGAAAATCACACATGCACACATACACACGCACATATATATATATACATACACATGTATCTATTTCTTAACACTAAAAATACCCAAATATTTTGTGACACATTTTATTATTATATACTTAAATAGGCAAACGTTTCTATGCAGGAAGATAGGATTATTTGGGACCAGTAAGACATTTTAAAAAAGGTTCCTTAAGAAAGTTTCTTCTTTGGAAAACTGAAAATGGTCCAAGAATAGCAAGGTGGTGCCGTGACAAGAAACTTCTCTTAACGCACTAATTCCTTGTCAGGGTACCAAAGGGTCTAAGGAACCATTTCCCTACCTTTCATTTCACTTGCTAATATTCAAGGCAATTCCAGCTCCATACGTATTTGGAGTTTGTCCTGGTCTAGCATTTAATTAGTGACCTCTTCCCATCCAGCTTCAAAGCATTCCACTTGTGCTAAATGGATCAGTTCATCCAGAGCGAACTCTGATGACTGCATTTGTTTATGAACAGGCAAGCATTTCCTCCCCAGAGCACATTTCTGTAAACAAGCAGGGGGTTTGGATCCCTGGAAGATTTGCTGCTGCTGCAAAGTAGCTGCCTTCCCTCCACGACTGCTGTAGAATCCACCCATCTGTGTCAGGCAGAGAAAAATGGTCTATTTCACACATTTCTGATGTTCATTTTGGGACAGAATAATTAAGATTAAAATATCTGGTGTAAATCCAAACTCTATCTCTGTAACAAGAACTGTGTGAATTTCAATTTTTCTTTTGGGTGAAACATGAGCCATACTCAAGGGGAGAAAACACCCTGAAGTTTTCAGCGGAGACTAGCTCACACCTCTAAATTCATCGGAACTCAAATGTGGAGAAATAGAAAAGGCCATAGGAGGAGCTACCGCCTTCACCACAGAAATCTGTATATACTACTTAGAAACATCAACACATATTTTAGAAATATGTGGGCTAGAACTAAAGACATCTTTAAATGAATTTCATTTTAAGCTGTGAAGTGGACATTTACTAACATATTAACATATCTAAGGTACCTGCACACTGCTTCTGCATCAAAGTTTCGAGTTTGTCTGTGGTCGATCACAATAATCTCATGATGTTTATCTAGAAAGCATTCCAGGGCTGACTCCGGAGTCCGAGCAATATTACATCTGTAACCGGCTCTGTCACAGGCCCACCAGAATCCATCACTCTGACTGTCTTCCTTTGCAAAGATCAGCAAAACCTGGAACACAAAGAAAAGAGAATCTTGACAGTAATCATCATCCTTAGAGAGTAGTACTGTATGCTAAAACATATATATGGAATTTAAGAAAAAAACATGTCATGAGGAACCTAGGGGTAAGACAGGAATAAAGACACAGACCTACTAGAGAATGGGCTTAAGGATATGGGGAGGGGGAAGGGTGAGTTGTGACAAAGCGAGAGAGTGGCATGGACATATATACACTACCAAACGTAAAATAGATAGCTAGTGGGAAGAAGCCACATAGCACAGGGAGATCAGCTCGGTGCTTTGTGACCACCTAGAGGGGTGGGTTAGGGAGGGTGGGAGGGAGCGAGACGCGAGACGGAAGAGATACGGGAACATATGTATATGTATAACTGATTCACTTTGTTATAAAGCAGAAACTAACACACCATTGTAAAGCAATTACACGCCAATAAAGATGTAAAAAAAAATAGAAAATAAATTTTTTTTAAAAATTAAAGAAAATAAAAAAATAAATAGCCAAAAAAAAAAAAAGCGGGCCTACAAGATACTGGTTTAAAATGCAGCCTCTGGAGAGAAGCTACCTGGGTTCAGATCCCGGCTGGTCCACTGATTCTAGGGTGTCTTTGAACAAGGTAGTTCATCTCTTCAGCCTACAGCTTCTCCAATGTCAGATGTGCTAAGAACGGTGCCCTGTAAGCTAGCTATGAGGCCTGAGCACAGAATACATGGTCCATCGCTCTGCTGGTGGTTGTTACCCATTTGTAATTTCCTAACTGGCTTTGTTTTTAAATAGACTGAGCACTATGAAAATAGGCTAATCAACACAAGTTAGACTATGATTCACGTACACACATATTTGGGGCCAGGGCAGCTGGTGTTCGTCTCAAGGTACCTGGCCACCTCTCTAAACTTAGCACTTAAATCCTTATCCAGACACAGAAGGGACGGGAACTCAAAACAATCTCAAAAACTAATTCCAACACCTAGCGTTTGCCAACTCTAGAAAGAACAATTGTGAAATGTGAAGCTATTGGAGCTAAGGTGAGGCAACGTGCCTCTTTTTTCTTCATTGAAAAGTGAAGCCCCGCTCCCTGGAAAGAAGGTAGCCATACTTCCCACCATGTTACCCTCTTCATTCCCTGGGCTCTGGGACCCAGATTCCCTGGTGGCCAGAAAGCCAGAGATGGCGATACCACCACCTGAACTTGTTCATTTATTTGTTTGTGGTCTATCTTCCCCACTAGAATTGAGCTCCAGGACAGCAAGGACCTGCCTGTCTTGTTCCTGCTGTGACCCCCTGCCGGTCAGCACTTACTATCTGAGTGAAAGGAGGGTTTCTGCAAAATGTAAGAGGGTTTTTACTGTCAATTGGAATAAAACTACGTCACAGCAATAGGTCTAATAAGAAATACATATAATAATCTCAAGATATTGATAAGGCATTTAATATTCTTCACCAACCACTTCTGGTTTAAACAGTTAGGAACAGAAGGGAAGTTTCTGGTCCTTTAAGTCCATAGCCAATGCCATTCTTCATGATGAAATTCTCAATGTCTTTCATTTAAAGTCAGAAACAAGACAAACTGTCCAATAATTACCACTACATTTTAAAAATGCTTCATTAATTGACAATACATAGAAAAACAGAAACAACAGTATAATTACCCTCATGTACCCATCACCCGGCTTCAGCAATAACCAACTCCTGGCCAATCTAGCTTCAATTCTCTCCCTAGCCACTTTCCAACTCCTGTATCAGCTTGCAGTAAATCCCACATATTTCATCCATATGCATCTATTAAAGACTCTTTTCTAAAAACAAAAAAAGAAACCACACCACCATTTCATACCTAAACCTCTCCAATAATTCCTTACCGTTAAACATCTGAATGTATTATAAATGCCATTTGTTCTACACTGTTTGAATCATTTCCTGTTTTCTCAAATGCCATGTTTCCAGAAGAGAAATAATATTTTTCAGTATGATTTTGACATTTACTTCTTAGCACATGGCTTGAAATCACATGCCAGTAACACATGAGGCAGCCACACTTATTAACGGCTCACTCCGGGCACGGGTCTGTCACTCCTCAGGTCAGTCTATCCCCCAAAACCTCAGCTACAGAGCTACTTCTAGGAAGAAACAGGACGTGGCTCTTCCAAGAGAAGTGAGGGGCTCAGCCTTGTGGATCTTGAGAGTGAAAAGAAAGCCTTCAAACAGAACTGTTAACAATGGAGCTACAATGAAAAAAATCAGGTAGAATAAACTGGCTTGTACAAAAAGTCACTAGCCCTTTACTTGATGTAGCTGTGGCATTAGCATGAGAAACTCAATAAGCAAAGCCTAGAAGTCAGAAAAGGTGACAGAACTTCTCTCATCTGTCTGGCTGAACTATGATTGCTAAGCAAGAACCTCAACACTTTATATTTCCTTTATACCATTTATGCCTCAATATTTGACGAATGCAATAAGAACCTAACTGTATTCCCATATTGGACATTGCTACAGTTATTAATCTCATGTCTTAGATGTCCTTAAAAGACGGGAGTGCTCCACTTTGGGAAAAATAAAGTCATTATTCAAGTATTTCCTGAGCACCTACTATGTACCTACTCTGTTTTTAATTGCTTGGAGTACGCTGATGAACAAAATAAAGACCTCTTGCATTGTAGGGGTAAAGAAACAAACAACAGGCATGAGAAATAAGCAAATGATATGGAATGGTAAAAGTGGTAAGTGCTAGGTAAAGACAGTAGGGTTGAGTAAGAGGGATCCAGAGTGGGTGCTGGGACCAGTATTAAGTCAGGTGGTTAGGGTAAGCCTCACCGAGAAAGTGACATGTGAGCAAATGCCTGAAGGAAATGAAAAAGTCAAGTTGATAACTGAAGAAAAAGCATTCCACAAAGAGGGACCAGATCCACTGGTTCCTATAGTGGGACTCATGCCTGATGTGTTCAAGGAACTCAAGGAAGCCAGTGTGACAGAGAGGAGTGTGAGCTGGTGGGAGAGGAAGTGGAGCTCACAGCAGAGGGCTCGATCTTGGTAATGCCTGGTTTAGGAACTTACACCAGATTTCACTTGGAAACTTAAAAACCAATTCAAAGTGGGGAGTTGTATTAATTATGCCTCGTTAATTTTGATATTTCTGATGCTTTGACATCTGGAGCCTTGATGACCCTGGAGGGATGCCCCAGAGGGATAACCAATTCTCCAACCCCTAGAGAAAGCAAATGACTTGCCTAGGAACGCACTTTTCGTATGCAAACCAATCCAGTCCGTACTCCTACCACCTCTATCACTTGCTAACCCTCTGGACCACTATCTACCTGCTCTAATCACTGCAGCGCCAGGCACCAGACAACTAGGGACAGCCCTTCTGCCCAACACTCTTCTGGAATGATTCAAACTAGCTAAACCTGTCTACCCTGCTTTCCCTGCCTCACAGCTTCCCACAGAAACCACAGTCAAGGCTCTGGCCCACATTTGCCCCTTTAGGCTCCCTGCCTCCAATCAACCTTAGTGCTTCCCTCTGTGATCCTGCACTGACCGCCCTTCCTCTCAGAAACTGTAACAAACTATCTTTCAGTGACAGTCTCTCCTAATCTGTTGGCCTCCCCCTACCTGAATAAAAATTAAAATCTACATATTGAAACAAGAGTATTTATATTACAAGAGTACTCACTAGAAAATCTCTCTAGGTAGTATTCAAAATTTTTTCCATTTATAAAAAAATAATTCAGAAAGACTACTTTTCAGTAATCCAACTCCTAAGCAAAGTGAAAATCTATGGGAATTAAAAAACTATATATATATATTTAGAGTAAAGTACTATAGTAATCAGTTTTTTTAAGGTCTGCCTATCTCTGGAAAATTCTATCTTCTTTAGGAAAGGAACCCACCCAAGTAACCAAAGCTGTACTCTCTGTCCCCATCTCCTAGGCCACAGCTGGACTAATAATGTTGTTTCCGGGAATTTGAAATGTGAACAGAGAGACACAGAGGCTGGGAATTAGGACCCGTGGCTCATTAATAGTAGAGATACTGAAGGAAGAAGCTTAAATCCCTTCTGTCAAAATACTCAGAGATGGCTCATTGTCACCCTTTCTGAGCCATGGCTTTTCAACTCTTCCTTGGATTCTGAAAAAGAAAACACACTATCTATTTCTTACTCATTTACTATTTTGTGTAAGACAGCTGTTACTTAAAACCAAAGAACATAACCCCTCAAGAGCCTTTTGTGATATAGTCCCTCTTCAGATTTATCATTCCATGTATCAATATTTAGTTTCTTTGTCAAACATGTCAGTTTGTAAATGTTTATTGACCATTCACTGAGGCAAATCCCATAAAATGATTTTGTAAAATATATTTTAAAAAATAATTAATAAATAGCTGAACTTAATTTATAAAGAGTAAAAACTGACTCTTACTTGCTCTAAATAGTATGTGGAACATTCTTTCAAAGAATACTTTTTGATGACCTATCATGCACGATGTTAAGAACTGAGAGTAAGAAGCTGACAGAGACAACCATAGTCCAGTCTCTACCCCTAGGACGCAAGCAGGGGAGAGGTTCAGGTAAGCAGATAAGTACAAGAGACGCTCTAATAAGCAGTGACCAAAGACAGAGCAAGGACATGGCATCCAGGGAAAGAATCTAGGCACAGGAGAACAGGAAGAAGGAAGTGGTTTTGTTATATCAACCTCACTGTACTGTTGTAAACACAGCGAAAGAGAAGATTAAAAGCAGATCTGGGGTGAAGCCTGGGGCAATGAGGAAACATCTACTTCTGGAGCAGATCTTGGCCAGTTTGGGCTTTGTCCAGGATCAGAACACAAACACAGGCAGTGCTCACTTTGCATGGCAGTGTCAGACCATATAAATGACCATGCAAAGCAATCTTAATGAAGGATGGTAAAAACGGCGGTTCCATGACATTTCGAAATTTTGTCAAAACATAAAAAACTTTTATTGTTGGTTATAAATGTATAGCGAAATGAAAAATGT